CGTCGTCGAGTAGATGTACCTTTAATATATATTATGTACATAAACTAATCTCGAATTCACTAACAAAATTATCTTTTTTTATTGTGAAAAAATGATCAGCAAGACGACAACCGGAAATGAGAAGAGCATATTAAACAAAAATTTTAAATTATTATCGCTTGCGGAAATACATCATAATACTTACACAATAATTTAAATATTTAAAAACGAAATTTATCAACAATTGACTTACCGTTAAATGCAAAAATAGAATTTGCATTAATCATCAATCAAATGCTGCGAAAAAAATATCTTAACATTTCAGAGAAAATATAGGGAAAAATAAGCTGTCCCGAGTTTCGTGTTTTTGGAAGAAGTAATAAATAATAGTCGTTATACGCCGATGGCGTGCCAGCAGGGACAAATCGAGAGCAACACCGCAAGTGTGTATATCGATCTCACGAAAACTAATTTATTTTTTGTTTTTGACCATATAATTAGTTGAAAAATGTAAATAAAAATGATATTAATCGTAATTGTTATTGTATGCTGCTAGATWTTATTTTAATTAAGTAATATATAGGTATGCATTGAAATGCAAAGAAAACGTATCAATATAAATATTAATATCAATATTAATATATACATGCAATTATTTTTTTAAATTTCGAGTATCTTAAAAGTTACAAAAAAATTAAATTAAATTTTGTTAAACAAATAAGAATCCATGAGATATGTTTATTTAAAAAAAAAAAAAATTGGCTCACATCTATAGACAATTATTGTGTTCAATTATTATATTATGGACAAAGAGGTGAATAAAAACAAAACAATGGGAAATAAATTGATGTTTTGATTTGAATTTTAGATTATTAAACTTCATGCATTTCTGTGCCATACCGCCAAATGGATAAATTATTTTTGAATAATTTTCTAGGTATCTAACTTGCAGGTAGTTATTGGTTATGAAGAACTAATACTTTTTTTTTACAGGTGACACAGAAATGAGACGTATTTTTTGTTTCCCAAGAGCGCAATGCACCACATTGCCCGCATATCGCCAAGTTATAACCGTATAAAATTCAATTTTAAACTTTGCATGCAATGCAGGCATGTGAGCCAAATCAGCGTTCGTACACCGTTACGGATATCGAGCATGCATAATAATATTATTATGTACTCTTAATAACCGGACGATATGATAAATAGTTTTACAGTAATATAATATATTATGGAACGTTTCATATACCTAATAACATTATCATAAAATATATTATGCTTAAAAAATAAATAACACTATACACACTATAACTTTATTCGTGTCGTCCATCACACATATAGGTGTGTTCGCCATACGCATCACGACCGTCTACATTATATGTGGATAGGCGTGTACACGTAGGTACTATTATTATATATCGTTTATAGAAGACACGACGTGTATAGCACAAGATTAAGATACATATATATATATTCTGCACAATAATGATACACACTTATTGGTATTCCGTCCGTGTCTGCAGCACAGAATCATAATAATAATTGTCAAGCCGGTATATTATAATATATTATAATATTATTCTACACGGCGACGTATAATAATAACGATTGCAGAAGCGCTTGGACTTTAGTGGAAAACTGCAGACGTTTTCCCTGGACTATGTACGGCGTGGAAAATTTAAATATATACCTAACCTGACCTCTTTAATTTWTATATATATAGTATACATGTGGTAAAGGCATATTATTTAAGTCATCGCGACCGCTCATGCCCACTCGACCGGTTTGGCCGCAAAACTCATTCCGTATAAGACACAAAGTTTATGTAGTAATAATATGAAGTGTTGCGTCTGTAAAAGCGATGTTCGCCCTCTGCACTGGTGCAAAATATATAAAGCTAAAAATCGTCATCTACGTCATCACACCGGGTTTAGTGGCGTGATTTCGGATTTTATGGAATTTTAACTTTAAATTACTATCTGCAAGACCATATCTAGACAATAATGGATAATATCGGTTATAATTTTATTAAATGATGCCGTCGAGTTATAATATTATGAAAGATGACRAAATTAAGTTTTTAAATGCGCGGCAAAATAAATTATACTACTCTCAACTATTCGAGAGCCATACGGAAACAAAATGCAAAAACAATTATTCTTATCTTATAATACATATTAGAGTATTTATAATATAATTATAATTTATAACAATATATCGATTCAATAATAATTACTTTCAGTCGTTTTGACGGAATTCTATCCGTCGAACCATACTACCACTATTATACAACATCTGAATACACACACAACGTCATAAAAATATTAAAGTTGTTAATAGATCCAAATAAGAGAAATACAAACGCTGTTATAAATGGACAGGTTCGAGGGAGAATAATATTTTAAATATACCAATATTTACAAGTAAAGTGTTTTAAAAGTTTGACAAATGATTTGAACGTAAATCGAAAAATAAAATAAATATAGTTATGCATACAGACAATGTCACTGTATTATTATTATTTCAACAAAGTACTTGCGCACACAAGTTGGTTTTTTTTTAATGGGCTTTATAATATCGAATACACGACAGGCAGATAGCAAATCAAACCACTGTCAGATAAACAATAAAAAAAAACCAGTCACAACTCGCAACTGCAAGACAAAGAAATCTCCGTGTTAGAGCAGTGATTATAACTAAAATTATTTTTAAAAAAAAATGTATGTACACAGTCATTTTCTGTTCATATATATATATAACGTACTAAATGTAAATATACATCAAAGACATCGAATTGACATACTAGATAGTGCGTGTGTCATTTGTTTTGGTTGATGTATATAGGTATCGCATGACACAGACAACMCAAACAGGCAAGTTATCAAGTAGAAGCATATACCTATATAATATTATATAATATGTATAGATACGGAATGATTCATCGACCATACTCATCAATGCTCACCCATATTTATTCTTATATATATATATATATATATATATATATATATAACTAATGTACCAATTACAATTTTTGTTCATTTAAGGACTATATATTATAAAGAAGTACAAAATTATTTTTTTGGAAATGTTGACTCATCTACATCTAAAATCTGTAATATTCATAATTTACTTTCGTAAGACAATGATATATTTACTCCTTAATAATGTAGTTTTATATAAAATATTATATACATTAAACATAATATTAAATCAAGTACAAAAAGTTTATTAATTTAGAACCTACCCTCGTCRAATGTCGATTTCAACACCACGCCAGTTAAACGATCAACAACTCGACTTCAATATCATCATATTATTATGGGTGCACACCACGCATCAAATTACAAGTATTATACAACGCCGAGGGAGACTGATGGGAATATTTGCAAAACGTTTACGATTTCGTATACACACATTACCAACCCATATTACACACACACACACACACACAAATATATATATATATATATAAGCGAAAGTCGGGTTAGACATTTGTCAGACATCGTTTTTTATAATATATTACGCGTGCACACACACACACACACATTTTATTATATAATAACGACGGTGCGGGTTCAGGTGACGGCTGCACTCATACAAGTCGTGTAAAAAAAAAAACCCCCCGACAGAATCGACCTTAACCCCTTACTGGATCGACCTGTAAACCCGTAGTCGGGAGCTCTCTACACGGAGATTCTAGTGGCAGACGTTCTTCTGATGACGTTCACACGGGTCGCATATTATTGTTACGTGTCCTGCGTATTATTTACGGTACGGCGCGCGTTTGTTTAATGTCCGTAACAATTAGGTAAATTGGCGGAAAAACGCTCCGGCACGTCACGTTGCAAGGTATATATGTATATAAAGAGCGCGTATTATATGCGAACGACTCATCGCGTATACTTACCTGTGCATTACACTCGGAATAGGATTAAATATTAAAATGTGTGTGTGTTCACATCGAGCGTGCGGTATATAGAAGTCCATAAAAATGAGACAGAAAAGAAACAGAGCAGGATAGTCGTCGAAAAAGTCGGGCACTCCGTGTACATATGCCATTTGGTATGTTCCTATATATACTGGGTGTAGAGTGCTGGAGTGGTATATAATTCAGAAAAAATACTACAGTAGCAATCGATAAACAATTAACGGTTGGTTACCAATATCTCTTCATGGTCCTTAATATTGGAAAAATTATAGATAGTAAATTGAAAAATTACATCCTAAGAGTACTAACTGCAGAACACGATTCCCGATATGTTTAAACACGCCGCCGAGTACCTAAATCTTCTCTGTACTTATACAACAAAAATCTTTCCACCTGAAATAGGTAAGTGTTTGGATAAAAACAGAAAAAAAACATCACAGTAAATATCAATACACACAGCTGAAATCCTAGTAAAAGGAATCAATAAAACATCATACATTGCGACGGACTTAATATTTAATATTTATGCGTCGTTGTCGGAGACTAACATCACATCGCGTGTATATATCGTTGCTTTCAGTACCTACCTATACGTAAATAATTTGTTACTAATGATAACGAAATATTTCGGTATTTTTTTTATTTTTTTTTTCCCTTGCCGACACTGCAGCGTCTGTCGTAAATCTTCTCGGCATCTACGCCCGACGAATTGAATCGCTTAAATTATATTCTTTATGCAACCACCGCGCCGTGGTCCACGAAAAGTTTATAAAAGTTTAAAGTCATTAAAAAAAAGGAAAGAATATAATAGTGCCTACCCGGTGTATGTATATAGCGAAGGTAGTATATAATAATTATCGGCGGATCGCTGAAGGTCCGATGAAAAATTCAACGAGTTCGGTGAAATGACCAAAAAAAGTGGCGAGAAAGGAAAAAAGGACTTAATAGAATATCCGCACTAGGATCTTTGCAATGGTTGGGGGAGAAAGAGGGAAAGGATCAGATACCGAAAACAATAGGCGAACGGAACAAATGATAAAGATGATATAGCATATATATATATAATTATGCTATATATACATTGTACTGTTAAGTATAAATATAATATTATAAAAGTACCGGCAATGCATATTATGTTACGCTCAATTTATATAAATATATAATATAATGTTACAATATCGGTTTACGCATAACTGGCGGGTGTACATATAACATCATAACAATGTCGCTTAAATTGGCGTAAGTACATCGATCAAAACGAAAGTAATGCAGTAATTATTAATTGAATATACCGAGAAATATACATAAAATAAAAAATATAGAACAAAACAACAAAACCGGGTCAAAAGTTTTCGAGCACCGCGGCCGTGTCGGATGATGGTTCAATTCGGCGGTCGGGGTCGGGGTATACGTTGGAGGGAAGCAGTGTCTTCTCGAGGGCCACCAGTACACCTAAGTTCTGTAAGAGTTCCTCTTGTTTTATATTGTATCGGGTCAAAATCGAACAATAGCTATTGAACAGTTTGTTTTTGTGCTTAGGATCGTTGCTAAACATGTACATGCGCCAAGCAGGAAACAGGTCCAAGAATTCGTCGTAACACTGGTCGTACAAGTCGGCCGCGGTCCTCTGCACTTCGTCCATGGTCTTCAGCGCCCTGTTGAGCCTGTGGGTCTGTAAAGCCACTGCCACCGGATCCAATTTGTCGTCTTTTGCCTGCGTATCGCCCAGTGAATTGGCCGCGACCAACATCTCCGCTACGTCCTGGGTCATGTTCTCGTCGTGGTCCATCATATCCTTAACGGCTTGATCGAACTTTCCTTTGGGACCGACCTCATCCGGTTGATAGATCGCCGTCACGTTTACTACAGCCACCGCCACCTACAACAACGCGACCGCGCAATCGCACCATCACCAACGACGGAGAGGTTTGTTTTTTATTTTTTTTCGAGCTAGTGCCGTGATATACTTAAAGTTAGTGCGTATTATATATATATACGAATACGACCGACTCAAATAGATTTGATTTTATTGCCTACAATTATTAATATTATTTAATGGATTAGCTGTCATGGTATAGGTAAAGTAAACTACTTCTATCTAACTATTTATATTATATGATGTGCGTTAACTCGATAGTTCGCAAAGTATATAGGTACTTCAGAAGGAGAAATTTCTTTAATCGTTAAAATTAATTTGATGATTATTTTTTTACGTTAAATAAAAATATTAATAATGATAGAGACATTGATGATATGTAAAATCTTTTTTGAATACGCTACTACAAATAAAATGTGTTAAATAAACGTGTTATTAATAATATTAATACATAGTAGGTCTCGGATGGATATAAGATAAGATACCTATATCTTAAAGGTATAATCTGTACTATAACAATGTTTGTATTAATTACAGTTTATAATCATAAATTCCTAAAAATAATTCATGTTGTAAGGGAACGAGTCCCGCAATTTAACTCTTGAAAAGTTTATTATAGGACAATAAAAGAGCCATAAAAAGAGAGAAGGCGGAGAGTCGCATATAGCGTAATACATAATATATTCCAATAATCAAAGACAAAAAATAAAAATGCGAAAACATTGTACCTAAGTTTATTTATTCGCTGGGAAACATAATGCTGTAGGTAAAATAAAGCAACTAAAACTTTTATTAAAAAAAAAGGGAAAACAAAAACAAGAACGGACAAGAAATTATTTGTAATGATAAGAATATTAATGAATCGTAATATAATGCATTTGTTTATCATCAATAACGGTATTTTATGATGTTATAAATACGGTGTTTGGTAGTAAGTTACGGCAGATTTATGAATATGATAATCCTAAAAAATATGCATTTATTTCTCTCTTTCCTCTTAGGTGTATCATATATTATTATTCAGGACAGCAAAATATGGTTATACATCCTTATTTGATTTGATTTTTCTGAAAATATTTCAAAAAAAATTCTTGAGATTTATCTACCTACTGTTTATAAAACRAAAAAATTAAATTAAATTTTTTAATTCTCATTAAATCCGTTAATATATATATAAAAGCACTTTAGTCTCATATTATTACAAAAGGGCATATCTAAAAGAAAATTTTAGTTTAAACACGTACATCTATAATGGCGGCTATACCAAGAGCGTAGGTACTTAACTCACATTAGTCGATAAATTAAATTTAAAAGGCCACATGAAACTGGAAATAATAAAAAGTGCTAGATTCGATTGATATTTTTAAATTTATTTTTCATGCTTAAATAATTTTTATGTTCAGAGAATAAAAAAAAAAGTAGATTATAATTCTATATTATAAATATGCTAATTTACCAGTAAAAGGTACGTAATAGGTTACATTTATATAAACTTAAGAAAAGACAACCACATTTTTAAAATAAAACATTTTAAATCGAATCCATAATACTCATTATTATCTATGATATTTTACGAAAAAATAAATCATACCTATAAGAACATTCTCCTCTCAAAAAAAAATAAATAAATAAATAAATAAATAAATAAAGGAAAAAGCAAATAATAGGTAAAACAACATTTTACAATTTGTAATTGTTTTTGTTTGAATGGGTTATAGTGTGTTAAGAATTATATAAAATAATGAAAATTATTGTCAAAAAAAAAAAGATCATTTCGAAGACTTTAATCAGGAAAATCAACCTTTAACATAATAAAAATTTAATAGAACTAAGTAGGTATGATAAAAATATTAATCTAACATCAAAAACAATTTAAGCCAAAACTCATATATTATCAAGTAACTTATAAAAYTATAAAAATTAATGTTTTTGATGCATTGATTAAATAATAAATTTTAGTTACCTATATTTACATACACAATTAAATATTACGAAAAAACATTATTTATTAGTTATTACCTATTTAAATACGTGGTATCTAGTTCAGGTTCTAATACAGTCTTATATAGCGAGACTAAAGTTTTATAAACATATTATACAAAAGTAAAAACTGAGCTAAGAAAAACATCTGTGGTATTTAATAATATTGTGGTGTTAATAATTTGTCCGTTTTATTTTCAAATCAGTTTGAAAATGAAATGTTACATCGACTTAATAATAGTATAATGATAATTTATCATCGTCATCATCGACAACAATAATCGATTTCATATAAGCTTACCGCAAAAAGCGCATACACCGTGTACGCTGACATTCCTCGATAATTGTTTTCGCTTTAGGACCGCGTTTGTCAGTGCAATGACGTTGACCGTTCATATTACATACATCGCACCGTTTCGATGCGTTATTATCCGAATAAACAACATGTCATGTTCATACGTTTAGATTGTAAATATAGTGCAGGGAATCGTATATAGGTAGTATTTATTTTATTTTTTGATAGCGATTGACAACTGTTCAAATTGTTTAATGATTGTGTACGCTGTAAACAACAACTACAGCATACAGGTAATAGTTGTTCAGATATTTTATTCATCAGTAGTTACAACAAAACACGTCGTGTAAATGTTATTGAAAATAAGAAAACCGTTAATTGCACCGTCTGTATATACGGCGCATTATTTATGATTTGTACCTATTCATGTAAAATCGTTGCTGTCAAACTTTTAACATTTGTCATGCGTGTTTCTTCATCGTACCATATAGCAGCCCCATAGCAGCCGTTCATCGAGGTAATTTAAATTACATAAAGTTCGTCCGAAATGTGATTCATATTATATAATAATATGTACACATATACAGATAATATACATATTATATAAAGCAATCTCTCCGAGCCAAAAATTGCGGGATCATATTTCATTTCTCACATTTATACGCAAAAAGCAATTTTAACCTCTTCATTTTCAAATTTTCTTCTTTTGCACTATTATAATACACCGGTGTAATTAATTTTTAAATGTAACGCAATCTCGTGATACCATCGCATCGATCTAGATCATTAAAACGACGAGGGAATAAATATAACCTCGGATTCTGTACAATAGTCGCGTATCTTTTTTTTTTATGATTTTGTTTTGATTATTATTATTGTTAATCGTGTACTTAACCTGTAGTTATCAAAACTAACGTGAAAAATGTTTAAGTTTTCAAGTCCTTAACTTTTATGAATATTAATTTAATTCCTAAAGGGAAATCCGAATATAAAATTAATGAGCCTGTATTATAGTATAATAATATCTTTTTTTTTTTTTTTAAGTTTATTTAGGCTTTAACAACTCAGGTTTTTAGCCTACTAATCTATATTTTGTATATACAAAAACTAAAAAGCAAATAGCGACCTTATAAAACGAAATACGATTTTCCTTCAGTAGCGTACACAACAATTCAGTCGATGTTTTCCAGTGGAAAAATGAGTAACAAATAAATGGTACTACTCAAGGAGAAAAATATGAAAATTATTTAAATTTATAGTAGGCAATATTGAAAACGAATAATGTCCAAGAAACATGTTCTATATTTATAGTCGTATATATTAATACACCAATTAACAAAATGTCAACTCAAACACGCTCGGCACAATAATTAATATTCAAATTAATCAGCACGACATCAACCTGTGCATATAAGTATACATTTAGTTAATACGTACAAAGCATATTATATTATTATTATGCTGACAATTACTATTTATAAAACTGTTACAATGGTCGTAAAATGTTTTTACATMAATTATGACGGCTAATGAATTCAGAATTGAAAAGTTGGCGGTAAATATAAATAGTATATACAMCTATAGTAGTTACACTTATTAGGGCTGTTTTCAGATATAATATTTTTCCGTTGTTTCTCGCTGTCAAGATTTTCAGCTACTATATTATACTCGGCGAGTATAATTCCTGTGCAGCTTTTGTTATTAATAATACTAACATTGCGGTGTCTCGAAATAATATTATGAATGCTTAAATTATATTATATTACGCACTGTATGATGTTAAAATCGTTTAAAATTATTGAAGCACGCTCACACATGTTACAATATGGTGTACGTATACTGTGTTATTTGAAATACCCTTATTGTATGTTWACCTACTATAAAGTCGTTAGTGCGTGTGTACACCCGTCGAAAAAATCCTGCCCTCCTCTCGGCGTAATAGAAAAACAACAAGGAGATACGATAAAGGAGTAAACATTGTATCTTATATACCTAAACCAATATATGATATAAAATAAATATTTTATATTGTATATTATATTAGGTATAGGTACTAGCAATATAAAATGTATATTTTCGTGGATATATTCATTCGAAACGACGTTACCAAGACGACATACGCGTATCGTGATCCTACACGATTAGTAAAATATATAGGTAACATAAATGTTTTAAAAATATACCAATCGAAACATACGGGTTCCATCGTTTGAAGTCTAAAGTTTGAATTCAAACCAAGAAATTTTAACTTCTAACTTGCACGACTACATTTGATAAGTTATTAGAGTTTTGTATCCGTTATACGGATTGAAATACAATATGAGATAGTTTTTAAAAATCTTGGCGAAAATTTTTGTAATTTTTAAACGGGTTGAACATGGTTAATTTAAAATTGTTGTCAATTAGAATTTATGAGTTATCTACTTATATACTTATCGACAGTAAAATAATATAATCTACTAAAATCATAGGTAATATTGCCTTAATAACGATCAACATGCTTAGGAAACACACATTTATAATTTTTACCTACAGATGATGCTGCTGATATTTTTCTAATAATTTAATAAAGCTTATATAGACTGTTTATTATTAGCGTTTTTAATTAATTATCAACAAATAACAAATTTACGAGAAATATACTAAATGGGAAAAATCGAATTAAAAATTGTTGTAGTTTTTAAAACTATATATATATAGGCGGCATGTAAATGTAATCCAAAAAATGATTTATAACTCGATGATTTTCAGATTAATAAAATAATATTTGATGATCTATATGTATATAGAAAGTACAAATATAATACTATTATACGACATATATAACGTATATAAACATAAGACTATACGAATGTCTGGAAATTACTTACTTAATGATTATAATGGCTACTAATTTAGGTATAAAATCTTTTCAGTTTAAATTCCTAATATTTTGTAGGAATTCTGATGTTGTATATCTGTATTCAAATAACGTAGTATATAATATGCATATATACCTATGGCTTTAAAGACAGTTTTCCGTCACAGCTTGGATCGAGTTGTTAACTTATTACAGAACGATGGTTTTTAATTAAGAAAGCAGAAACACAGATTGTAGAAACACTGTCCATAACTTGGCTCTTTTTTTTTTTTTTTTAATTATTCATCGAGATAACGAGGAATGAAACTATTTCTACATAATTCCAAAAATTCGTCTCGTGTTTATTACCCGATATGCTTTTCCTATATTTTACTCTCTGAGGAATCATTAAATGTATGTTTATTTGACGGAGGGGTTCACACATTTTTTCTTAGCGGATATCATTTTTACGCAGGTTTTTGACTTTTTCTCATTGACTACAGCAATAACACACATCTATATAAGAGTAAAGAGAAATATTTATTTCTATTTTACATTTTATTTTCATGCCAACATTAGTTTTTAATAATAAATTCATACTATTAAAACTATGGTAACTACATTCTATTTTAAGTTTCTTAATAAAATAGTGAACTATAAGAACTAAAAACCTAATCATAAACACTAAACAGAGTGAATGGGAAAAATGAGTGTATGTAGCTAGGACAAAATACGATTAAGTAAGACACGAGATATAGTACGTATACTTGATTACAGAAAATAGATTGTATATCAATCGATTCAAGACGTTAAAAAATAAAAGATTTRAAAATAGGAATTGCTTATAAAAAAAATTTTTATTTTAATATAAAATATGAACTTGAGTGAAACACGTTGGTTTTTACTACATTATAAAGGTATTCAAAATTATTCATGGATGTTTTTTTTTTCCAAAACATATTGTATTTTTATTTGAATAATAAATTATAAAAATTAAATGAAAAAACGAAAGCATATTACGGAATATCAACCACGGTTATACCATAATATGTAAACAAACTTAAAATAAAATCGTTCTAAAAATAATCTAAAATATCTATTGTTTTACCTTATTTAAAATGGCCTTTTAATTATAAATTTAATATTTTAATAATACTACAACACTAGCGTATATTTATCAATTTTCTGTAGTCAACGGAAAAACAATAGATATAAATAAATGCATTATTTATCTTAGGGCTAATTGTAGGCCTAACCATTATAATAACGATGCCAAAATTGCACTTAGTATAATATGATAGCTACAAATTTTACCTCTTAAAATCAAATTATCGTAGTTAGATGGATTTGAGCAAAATAATATGTGAACAAATAACTAAAAGACTAAGAAAAATAATTTATTAGTTGGCATGTAGTTAAAACCTATAAAATTATGCTTATAACAACCATGGATTGTAAAATGTAAAGAATTAACACAAAATGTTCAGTGTTGAATACATTAAAATTAAATACATAAATAGGTATCTACTAATATTTTTATTCTTGAAATTTACTCAAAAAAATTTCCATTTTACAAAATGTATAAAAAAAAAAATAAGGTATTTCTATTGTGAGGGTGGATTCCTCCACGTAGCCCAAACGTTTACGAAAATACAAGGCAGATGGTTTTATATAATATTGTATAATAGGCACCTTTACCGATCATACCATATATATATATATATATATATATATATATATATATTTGCGTGACAAAAGCCGAAAACCATTCAGACGAATATATAAATATATTCACTCTTTATTCCATGACTGGGTATAGCACTATAGCATTTATTATTATTTTTTTTGTCATTCTAACACATACATTAACCATACTCATCATTCGTTCTTTTTACATGTCTCCCCTCCRCCGGCCTTACATAATGTAGGTGAAACGCAGAAGCATGCACTTTTAGTCGTAATAATATCTTACCAGTCATAGCTCCCGGAGGGTTAATATTGATATTTATATGCATTATAAGCAGATATTGGAATGTAACCATCCGTAATAAAAAAAAAAAACTAAATAATAATACTTAAAAATGTACGTATATGTTATATGTTATATACAAATAACAGATAAAATAATGTTTAATGTTTATCTTATTCTKCAAGTCATAACATACGCATGTGCATGAATATTATACTACGTCAGAAATTACATAAAAATTGAAAGTTTTTTTTATTATTTGATCATTGAGTTAGATGAACACACACACGACCATAACTTCCTACCGAATTTTGACAATCATTATTATTACTACTTTTCAATATTTCT